TTTTCACTTACCATGGGCCACGCCCATAATCCTAATTTTGACAACGGCGCCTTTAAAGCCTTTCTATCATCTCGGGTATAAATTTATGTCTCTGACGCATTTATTTTAGATTTATCACACTTTTAGTATTTTATAACAACTCGTTGTATGAGGAGGGTGCGATATCAGACATCGATTCTCGTTTTCAATTGCTGTTTAGGTTTCTAAAAGATTTGTCCTGAGTGAATTTGAGACATACTTAGTGTCATATGCTATTAAAATTTTAAGTTTGCATAATCAAATTTTAAAATATTTGTTAATGAAGGTTATGCGTACATACATAGCCAAATTTGATTTGTCAATAATGTTGGTTAGTAAAAGCTAATCACTGATTTTTTGAAAACTGATAAACATTTTCAGAGAATAATACATTTATATTCATATGTTTGTTGTTGAATTAAATGGTTCTAATTAAAATATATGTACACATGTATGTTATGATTATCTGTTGACTCTGACTCACATTAAAAAAAATAAACAAATTGTCAGAAATTTCAGAAACTGATTATATTACTCAGAACATATTCATATGTAGGGCGTGAGTATATAATTGCACATAATCTTTTTTTCGGTGTCAACTTAATCGGCAGCTCCACCAGTGGTTTTTGATACATGCTTGGATCCTCGCCGCCTCGCGCGTTAGCTTTACATTTTTTGATTTGATTGCGAATGTGTAGTACATATATATTATATTTACTAACATAGAGCACGAATAAATAGAAAATATAAAAATTACACTTAAACATTAATTGCGAGTTTTGGTGCATTATGAATATCTTGTTTACCGTGTTGAGTGTGTTCCCAGTGGACTGGGTCCCAAAATATTCAAATTGTGTTATACAAACAGCAACAAAGATAACATTTAAATAAAGGAGTCTAATGTGCGAGTTTTGGTGCATTATGAATATCTTGTTTACCGTGTTGAGTGTGTTCCCAGTGGACTGGGTCCCAAAATATTCATATTTGTTTCAAAAAATTTAAAGAACCGGGATCTGGTGGATTTCAATCGTTCCTCCTTGCAACGCAATTTCATAACCCCTGCGCGTGAATTATTTCTAGCTGAAAGTTTCCAACTTGGAGTGTTTATCTCAGATAAACTTACTTTAATTGCTAGACATCTTATGTTGATTGTTGTGCCCGAAAGAAGAAAAAAAATATACATATATACAAATTTATAAAACTTCACAAAATTTTGTCGACTTACCTCTGTCCTTTACCAAGTGACTTTTTCTCTTAGCATTGTTCACTCCTATTTTAATTCCCCTTTATGGAAATTTCCTATCGAAACTAATGACAAATATATTTTTTCATTCGCACTTATTCACTTATACTAGTTGAAGAAATGAGATAACAAATTTTGTTTGTTTGGAAAACTCTAAATTAATTTAAAAATATATATCCCAAAAGTGTGCGTTGGTGTTAGTTCTTGAAGAAAAATGTGTAAATGAGTTGAAACTTCTGGGGAAAGTGGTTAGCCGTGGTTGGCAGGGTAAAGTCTAAATTATCCCTAAAATCATTATCCGATCTGTTATTATTTAAAGTTTTCGGCGATATACCACTTCCACTCCTTAAGACGTTTCTTTTGATATTGAGTAATTTTCGTATTATGTATTGATATTAAATGATTTTTCACCTTTACTATGAGCTTTTGGTAAATAATGATGTTTATGAACGTGTGTTGGCATTAGTATCTTTTTATAAATCTGTTAATCTCTTTGAATGTACATTAAGGGTTTTGAGTGATATAGTCATTCATACAATCCAAGAGTTATTTACATTTTTATGACAAATTTTTATTGTGTTATCAAAGCTGACATTTAATCTTTTATATCCAAATTTATATTATATTATAATATATATATTGATAACGAGATTCATTTTGAGAAAGAATTTTATTATTATGGTAGATAATTTAATAAGTTTTCTGATGTAGTTTAATTGGGTTTTGCTTTATCGCTTTATCAAAATAAGTGTGATGCTTGTTTGCGCTTCTACTCATCATTAGTGTTTTCCGGTTTAAATTGGTTTGAACTTTAATACGTTTTTTATCATTATTAAATTGTGTTTTGCTATTTCGTTTTTCTAAAAATAAACGTGATATAGTTTTACGCTTATACTAATGTTATAACCAACCGAATTATTTTAAGCTTTATGATCTAAACAGCGAAACATTGCATAACAGCGCATAAGAAGCAAACAGCTGATTAGCCTTTAGAATCATGGCACATGACAGTTGGCAAATTTACCATTATGAAAACTATAAACATAAATATAAGTTATGGGACTGAAGACTTTGTTTTTGATTTATAAAGGTCTCCCGAGCTTTTAAAAAGTGTAGTCTAGGATAAAATTCCTTAAGTGAAATAAATTAATTTATATTTTTTTAGTTTTTGAGTAAAAATTATTTATGTTTGCGCTTCAAATGAATAGCATACACTGAAAGAAACGTACAAGGACGATAGCTTTCCAACACATGTTCGGAATATTGCAGCAATGGAGTGGCTTGTAACTCACTCTTGTGTTCAATCACTGGATTGTTAAATAAAATTCCCAATTTCCCAAGTTGCTATACACTTATTTTTAGTTCTAATTCCAACAACTTAACACTTATTGCGCGATATTCGAGATTACAAGTTATTGCTTGTAGCATAATTGCTCTTTACACGACAACACTCTAATTAGTAATGTATGTGCTGCACAATCTAGCAGCCCTAATACAGTAGATTGGTAACTAAACTTCTTTACTCAAAAATTCTGGCAACTAGGGATTTCGCTATCTTGTTGGTTCTAGCAGGTTAACGTCGATTCTGATATGTTTTGGCATTTGTTTCGACACATAGTATACATTTGTGTACCATAAAAGAAACTACAGCTGGATTCATCGAAATCGCAATCAATTGTCTATGAATCACCCATTACTGTGACAATGTGTTGTACATCTCTGATTGTTTCTATCGAGAAATCGCTTTAAAATCTAGGTTTCGATAAAAATCAAGCATTTGTGTAAATTGTGTTTTTAAGAAAAATAAAATTGTAGTAAATTATGCAGTTACCCTTTTATAAAGGGGTTTAAAGGAATGAATGAGAATTATAGCAAAGATTGTTTAGGGCTTTGTTTAAGGATATCCGTACTTCATCAAACGTGGAAGTGGTTGCATCAAACAATCGCGTTACATGAATATTTGATATCTGTTACTGCAGCAAGTTCAGCAGGAAGTTACGGTGATACAAATTTGATATATTTCAAGGTCGCCAAAGAACATCAAAGAAATTAAAATAAACTTATTCAATACACTCTTATATTTAAAATAACATTTTCTAATTATAAATAATGTGTATTAAAGCCATGTGTTACAAGCTACGTTAACAAGTTGAAAGAAATATAATTGTTAAGTAATAGTCGTGAAAAAGTTAAACTCGGTTTTAAAAAATTTTGTTATAACCATGAATACCATAATATCCAAAGGTTACAAAGGTGGCATTCATAAATGCTTATACTCTGTGTTTGAAGAAACACATACTAATCTACCCCGAAAATTGGTTTATACGATTTACAAAAATCAAAACAAGAAGACACCAAATAAGTATGGATTACCCCCGTCGTCATATGTAACCAAACCAACTAAGATTAATTTAAACAGTTCAAATGTTACAAAAATATCTGATGCCAACATTATAAAATCAGTGTTCATTTCACAATCATATGATATATTTACAAACTTAGCTCTGGAGGACTGGTTGTATAGAAATTTCGACTTCACCCATCACCACGTATTATTGTTATGGGTAAACGATCCATGCGTTGTAATAGGACGTCATCAGAACCCTTTTATGGAAACAAATGTTTCGAAATTGGATTTAAAAGGTGTGACTATAGCTCGTCGTAACAGCGGTGGTGGGGCAGTATACCATGATCGTGGTAATCTCAATTGCACATTTTTTACACCACGGGAACGATATAATAGAAAATATAACTTGAACATTTTAACAAGAGCACTTTTTCGAGAATGGGCCATTAAATCGGATATAAATGAACGAGACGATGTATGTTTCAACGAAAAAAAGGTAAGTTAAATGAGCCTTCCTTTAAAAGCTTAACGGTTGGGCTTTAGTATAGCACCCACGAATTCCTATATAATAAATATGGGCGGATAGAGGATGCTCTCGAGATTAAGATTATATACAAATATAGCTACACGGAGATATATTTTCGTAATATTCGCTCTTAAAATTCAAAAATCACAAATTAAAGTATGTAGTTTTTCTATGTATTATGAATTTTACACTTTCATATGTATATTATTCAATATTATATCCACAAACACATCACTAAATAGTTTTTACACATTTGTTTAATCATAAAAAGGGAACAAATATGGTTATATAAATCGTAATTAAAGTTTTCATAAATTTGTCTTATTTACACTATAGCCATTAACTAGGTCAATAGGAGTACTGTTGGATAGAGGAGATCCTCTAGATCAAGAATATGTATAATTGGAAAATGTCTAGTTTAGGTCCCATAACTAAGGAGGCCTCAAAAATAGGAACGCGAATATTACAAATCCGTGAGCGAAAAGTGAATTTTTTCAAAAATGTTAGTATATTTTTACAAATATATTATATTTAACGCACTTTGCACATATTTTTGAAGTCAGTTTGTTGGCCCTATTTAGGAAAAAATAAAATAATTACGTATGAAAAATAAACAATAATGTATTTATTTTTACGTTTGTTGTATTTGCGTTTCCCGAATTTGCTTTCGTCTATTTAAACAATTTTACTAGGACCGCCAATTTTACCTACCGGTACCTGATGATCAACCTGGTATAAAACTACCGCATCCGGCAGTAATGCAAACGCATACATTAAATAAACCACTTGAGGCAGTGGTATTTTAATATGCTCGAACCCATTCGACCTCGACACCTCAGTTCGTTTACGGCAGGCACCTTTGCGTACGGCATAATTTTATTTTTAAAATTGAACCTTCCGCCTCTGTTAATAAAATTACATTTCTCGCAAGTGTCGAAAATGTGTAGTACTTTACCGAAATTCCACATTTCTTTGATTTCGGACACATTAAGAATATTTGTTTTTCTCACACAACGGCTCCTGACCAAATCAAGGCTACAAAAGCACTCATGGTGAGCAACCGACTTGCTGGGAAATCCTGGGGGTGCTCTCCAAAGACTATGAAGTGGATGTACACCATGATCGTGAGACCGATTATCACGTATAGAGTGGTGTTTTGGGATTCTAAAGCATCGCAGACTTCGGTAGGACTGCAGCTGTCGAAGCTGCAAAGACTTGCCTGCACTGCGCGTCGGGCGAATGCGTACGTGTCCTACTGCAGCACTGGAAGTAATGTTAGAACACATACCGCTACATATGGTATTTAAACAGGCAGCCAAACAGACTCTGCTCCAAATGACAGCAGAAGGAGTTGGCATAGGGAAGGTAATCTCGTCCCAGCAGATGAAGGCGCTAAGTGAAGAAATGCCACTAGCCCTTCTCGCAAGGGACAGCATTACCAAAGTAGTAAGCTTTACTAAGAAGTTCAAAGTTACCCTTGGCAGCAAGGCGAATTGGAATGATTCATCGCTGGACCTGCTACTAAGATATAGCACTATCAAGTGACGGCTTGAAAACGTCCGAAGGGATTGGTGCTAGGGTTTCTGGGCCAAGCACCAAACTCTCCATTCCCATGAGAAGTTTTCCTAACATTTTTCAGGCCGAAGTCTATGCTATGAGTCGGTGTGTAAGGATAAACCTCCAAAGCAACTATCGCAATAAAAGTATTGTCATACTCAGCGATAGTCAGGCGGCACTAAAAGCGATCTCTGCCTAGATTAGATCGCTCTTAGTGCGGCCTAAAATGGTTGAACAGCCTATCAGACCACAACCGAGTGCACCTTATTTGGGTGCCTGGCCACAGGGATATAGCCGGGAATGAACTAGCTGACGAGTTGGCCCCCTCCGCAGCCTCCACAAAAATGGTAGGACCAGAACCATGCGTAGCGGTTGGTCCACATACCATTAAAGAGCTGCTCCGTAGGGAGGAAAGAGCAGGCAGGAAGAGACATTGACAACAATTCCCACAACAGCCGGTTCTGCGATACCGGAATTGACCCGGATTTTATCCGGCCAAGGGCTGTTATTTCGACGATCTAACCCTGTTTGGATCGGTAAGTTTTAGATTAAGTTTGTCGTCACTGGAGCAACGCCTAGCAGCAGGGTTGCTCCGTATCCTCCTGACCCGTGCTGGCATTGAGTCCAACCCGGGCCCCGAGGTATTCTACTGCTGCGTATGCGCAAAAAGGCTCCATCCAAATTCCACCTCGGTTAGGTGCAATACATGCAATGGATGGAGCCATCTTAAGACCTGCTCGGGCCTTAAGACACACAGGGAGTGGACCACGAGTTACGTGGCCCCATGCTGTCAACGCAATAATGCGACATATGCCTCAACGGCCGTGCAACCTGCACCATGTTCGCGCACTGCGCTGCCACTCCAGTCGAGTGGCCAAAATGGGACCTCCACGGTCCTAAGGAGCTCACAAAGACAGCACAACTCCCAATCTGACCAACCTTCCCCCCCCCCACCTTCATCCAGCTCCAATCCCCGTGCGAGAACCACACAGCAACTCCTGGTTCCTCGCACAGTCTGTTCCGTGTGTCAGACCATAATACGCCGGAATGTCACATCAGTCAAGTGCAATTCTTGTGCTGGCTGGTGTCACTTTCTGTCGTGTTCTGGCCTGCGCACCACACGAGAGTGGAGTGCGTCGTATGTTGCCCCATGCTGTGGGAGTCTGCCCCCGCAATCACAAACAGTGGCGTCGCCAACCAACACCATAGTGCGACAACCGCCCATGCGGATAGCACAACTGCAACAACCACCACCTACACGCACCCCACTCACCCCTAGGATCACGACTGGACACCCGCGACAAACGCGACTCTTACAATTCAACTGCAACGGACTCCAGAGCAAGATCGAGGAGATAGTTGCATTTATGAGCCGGGAGCGCGTAACGATAGCTGCGGTCCAAGAAACCAAGTTAAACAGCCGCTCAGATCTTCTGAGTTGTGCAGGTTTCAACGTTTTACGTAAGGATCGCGAGCGAGATAATGGTGGAGGCCTAGCCTTCATATTGCACAACACCGTGCAATATCGTCTAATCGATGTTGACATCGACCGCAGGGACACTACCCTGAATGTCAGGACTAGCTGTTCCGTCAGTCGATGTCGAGCTCGAAAATTAAATATATCATCCCCCAGTTACATGTTGCCCAACAGGATATCACCCGAATATAGATGCGCTACTTCGTGGTGAAACCGTCTGGTGCTAGGCGACTTTAACGCGCATCACGATCTTTGGCATTCCTGCCTGTCAAACGATCGTTGGGGATGGAGCTGGCGGAACAGATAGACGATTCGACATTCTGCACAATGAATGACGAAGCCCCACCAGATTATGGGCACCTGTAATAGCTCGCCAGATATTACCATCGCTAGCGGTGGTCTGATAATAGTATAACCTGGCGACCTATGCTAACTCTTGCATCAGACCATCTGCCCATAATTATCTCGATCGAGAAACCTCCTGACTTTATTTCTGTGGATAACCGCACCTATGTTAACTTTAACAAAGCTAACTGGTCGGCTTCACAGAATTACTGAGAGCACCTTCAACGCACTATCCATTCCTACGGACGTCATCGTTGGCGAGCGTCAATTCCGCAAGGTGATCGCTGCTGCTACAGCTCGCTTCATACCGGCTGGAAGAATAGCGGAACTCCGCCCTAATTTCCCAGCCGAAGCAGCTGTATTAGCAATGAGCGCGACACCTTACGCCATGCCGATCCCTGTGATCCCGATAAGGATCTCAATTTGGAGATTCGGCAAATGGTAAACCATCATAAGGGACAAATGGATAGAGCACCTGAAGTCCTGCAACTCTCCACCGGTGTGAGTAAGCTTTGGACTACTGTCAAGGCCCTGTCAAATCCGAGAAACATGACGATCGGGTTGAAATCCAATTCGATGGCCATGCCTCCTCGGACCGAAGAAGTGCGCGAGCTACTTTAGCCGGCAGTTTATACTGCACCCTTCGACCGACAAGGCCAAACGATGTGTTACCCGACGGTTGCGCAAATGCCAAAAGACTGCGCACCACTTCTTTCACCGTTGAGGAGGTTCAGAATGTCATCAAAAAGGCGAAATCGTCCAAATCCATCGGCCCTGACGGAATAAACATGCTGATGTTAAACATCTAGGCCCAACGGAGTAAACTACCTCACCAAGGTCCTCAACCTGTCGATATCCACTCTTCAAATACCCGATGTGTGGAAAGTCGGAAGAGTGGTCCACTACTGAACCTGGGAAACCCCGCAACAAAGGGAGTCTTATCGCCCGAAACTCTCCTTTCCCCAGTAGTGAAGACACTTGAGGCCTTGTTACTCCCGTCATTCACCCACCACCTGAGCCTAGCAGACCATCAGCATGGTTTCGTAAAGTGCACAGTACCACCACAGCACTTAGCGTCATAAACGCCCAGATAGTTCATGGCCTGAACCAGAAGCCACCTGCGAGAGGACGTCCTCGTAGCGTTGGACTTGCTTTTGACACAGTCAATCACGCAACGCTACTTGAGGACCTCGAACAATCACGCTCCCTCCAGGGTTGAAGCGGTGGACCATGAACTACCTGAGCGGTCGACACTCATCCGTACTATCGAGGTCAAACTCCAAACTCAGGAAATTAAACAGGGGTTCCGCAGGGCGGTGTCCTCTCCCCGCTACTGTTTAATTTTTACATCTCGAAACTCCCCAGCCACCAGCGGGAATTTCAATGACCTCGTACGCAGATGACTGTACGATATTGACGTCGGGCAATGGAATCGATGGCATGTGTTCAAAAGTAAACGGCTACTCTCCGATCTTTCTCGCTTCTTTTCTCAAGGAACTTAACACTCTCCCCACTAAATCCACAGCGACCATCTTCACCAATTGGACGAAAGAGTACAGACTGGACCTGAACATTTCAGTCGATGGCACAA